TTGTCAGCTAGTAACAAAAAGGTTGTTCTTCCGTTGGGAACAAAGGAATGGCTTTGCACATGCTCAGGCACAACATGACGAAGAAGCAGGGCCTCCAAAGAGGTGCGGTTTGTATATGTGTAGTTAAATGAAAAATTCACGCCACATAATGTTATTTGTACAGAAGTGTGGGCTTCCAATTTCATAGATAGTTTCCCCACACACCACACACACACACACACACATACTTCTTGTCTCTAAGATATTTTGCTAAATCTTGGCAGGATTAACCCTCCAGCAGGCAAATTCCATTCTCAGTTCTACTGTCCATCTCCATCCACAGCCAGAAGTTCTCGTTATCTTAGACTTTCTGTATTCATGATTTGCAATGTGACTGTGCCCACGTAGGGGATACATCAGTGTTCTGAAATCACGTGATGGCTGCAGGTTGCTCCAATGGTCCCAGGGAAAGGTTTCACTGCTGTTCCCCAGCTCTAGAATCACATTGAGGCTTTCATCAGGTCACAGAGCTCGGGCAATGATGCTCATTGTTGCTATAGGACTTCAAACAGTTTCTGAACAGTCCCACTTCTAATTTGGTTCACATGCGCTTAAAATGTTGTTTTTGTTGTTACGTGCCAAGTGTCAGGTCGAGTCGGACCTGACTCATAGCGACCCCTCCTTGAGTTTCTGAGGCAGTATCACTACAGAAGTAGATTGCCCAACTTTCCTTTTGAGGAGTGGCTGGTGTGTTTGAGCTGCCAGCCTTCTGGTTAGCAGGCAAGTGGCTTAGTCACTACGCTACCAGAGCTCCTATTTAAAATGGTAAGGACAATCTAAATAGCCTGATCCTCAGAGCTGGAAAAAAAAATATTTTTCAAAATTTTGTTTTTGCTTTTCTTTTACTTTAGGCCTTGAAAAATTTATAGTTACAGCACTCTGTGTAAAACAGTGCACAAAATAAATGTAAAAATCCCTCATCTTCACACATGACTGGGTTCATAAAATTGTCCAACTTTTGTTTTAAAAATTTCTCTGGCTTGATTGAAGAAGGTAATTCATGGAGGAAAACCAATGGCAGAAGCGCTGGCCCAAAACTCTTGGAGCAATTTTGAGCATATTTATTTGGCTTGATTGACCAGTTCAGAATTTATATTCTTGTTAATACCTTCCACAGGAGTGCATAAAAATGGCATGGTTCCAAGTGTAGCTTGAAAGGGGGGAGTATACCTTGTTGGAAAGTTGAGGATTTAGGATGTTTTAGAGGTGTTTTCAGTATCCTGAAATAAAATGCAAATGAAACTGATGATAATGATTTTGTTATAGATAGGCATTGATTACTGTATAGCAATTTCCCATTGGACTTTACATACTTTGTCAGAAATGAAGGATTTATCAGCGTATAATAGATACTAGTTTTATATCACTTGGAATTCGTCTTCCTATTTATTGTTGTGTGTGTGACTCTTTGGATCAGGATCATAAACTCCAATAGCTATAGAGGCCTGGCAGGTAGTGGAAAGGACCTCTGTGGGTTTCTGTGAGTGTAGAACAATGAGAATCATGGGAACTGAAGTGAACTAAAGAGCATAAGCCCTGCCAAAAATATATAAAAGGAAATTTAAACTCAATGTGTAAATCAAACAAAGAAAATCTAAAGACGAAATTCAGCCCACAGTCACAATTTTTTACCTCTTTTTAGAGAGTGAACACTAAAAAGCTGCCATTGGTAGGAATAGGGACCATTTCATTCCCAACGCAGGAGGTCTGGCAGCACTGTAGTTAAACCATTAGGTTGCTAACCGAAAGGTTCATGGTTCAAACCCACCAACTGCTCTATAGGAGAAAGACGAGGAGCCTGTTTTCACAGATTTGTTGTTATTTGCCGTCGAGTTGGACCTAGTTCATAGTGACCCGTCCTTGGGTTTCTGAATCAGTATCACCATGGAAGTAGATTGCCCAACCTTCCTTCTGAGGAGTGGCTGGTGGGTTTGAACTGCCAGCCCTCTGGTTAGCAGTCAAGTGCCTTAGGCATCACACTACCAGGGCTCCTTTCTACAGAGCAGCCTCAAAAACTCAAAAACCCTATGGGACAGTTCTACTCTGTCCTATAGGGTCACTAAGAGTTCAAATCAACGTGATGGCAGTGGCTCATTCCCAATGAATAATAGGTCTGATATTAATCTGCTTTTAACATGCTGGAAATCTGCCATATCTTTTAAGGAACACAATATGGTAAATGATATGTCAGCATCATTTAAATAATAAAGCAGCATAGGCTTGTATACCCAACTCCAAACCTATTCACATTAACAAAAACATAAAAGAAAAATGTAAGAAAAACTAAGTCTTGTGGACTGAAATCTTTTAGAAATGGTGGTGAAATTAGACAATAGCTGGAAAAATAGATTTCAAAGCTTCCTATTTATTGCCCTAAATGTAGTTCTGCATATAGATTTATGTGGTCTGAACATAGACAAGATTAATTAGGCCCCCATATTTCCTGGTAAAGATGATTTTTGTTTTTAGTTTCCCATAATGGGTCCTGCCCATTGAGAGTGAAGAGGGGAATGAGCTTTTAGTGATATGGGGAAGCAAACCTCCTCTTCATGTTTGATTCCTAGATAGCCCCATCTCTAGTCACTCTTTTTCCACTGCTCTGTTCTGGCATAGCTGCCCTTAGATCTAGACATATTCCTTGATTGTGGCCAGAAAAAGAATAAGCTGATCGTTATAAAGAGGGTATGGTAAATTTATAAACTGGGAGCCAACAGAGCCAATCTGACCCTCAGACATTTTTTCTGGCCCAGGCAACATTTCAAAAACCTTGAGCTGAATGAAAAATGGAAAGAAATTACATAAAAAATACTTTAACCAATAGGAACATCTGGAAATACTGGACCCTCGAATTTTAGGCCTGAGCCTGAGTAGCTGGACGCAGCACTGAGGTTGAGTGTATCCTGCCATATCCACCTTTCCAAGAGTGCCCCCTCCCTGCCATCTCGCAGATACCGTGTCTGAGTTACCTCTTCTGCACTACACATCACCCACTGAATTAGCACTCCTTCATACATACATACCATACATACTGGTAGCACAGTGCCTAAGGCTCCTGACTGCTAACCAGAAGTCTGGCGGTTCAAACCCACCAGCCACTCCTTGGAAGAAAGATGGGGCAATCTACTTCTGTAGTGATATTGCCTCAGAAACCCAAGGAGGGGTCGCTAGGACTCGATGGCACATAACAACAATATATACTTATCTTTGTTCTGGTGGTACAACCCCTAAGCAATTAGCTGCTATCAGAAAGTTGGCAATTTGATTTTACCCAGAGACTCTGTAGAAGAAAGAACTCGTGATTTTCTGTGAAGATTACAGCCTGGAAAACTTTATGGTGCAGTTCTCTCAGTCAGCTGGGGTCCCTATGAATCAAAATAGACTCAACAGTATCTAACATTAGGACTGCTTGTGGCTCAATGGTTAAGCACTCAGCAACTAACAAGTTTGAACTCACCCAGAGGCTCCTTAGGAGACAGACCTAGTGACCTGCTTTTATGAAGATCATAGCCTAGAAAACCCTATGCAGTTTCACTCTGTAAATATGGGGTCATCGTGAGTTGAAACTGTCTTGAGGGAAACTAACAACAACAGCACATGCTTTGGAGTCCCTGGATAGTAGAAAAAATTAAGCACTTGACTACTAACTGAAAGATTGGTGGTTTGAATCCACCTAACGGTGTCTTGGAAGAAAGCCCTGGTGATCTACTTCTGAAAGGTTATGGCTTTGAAAATCCTCTGGAGGACAGTTCTACTCTGCTACACATGGGTTGTCATGAGTCAGAACAGGCTCAGCGTCAACTGGTGGTGGTAGCACATACTCTGGGGGCTCTATTACATGTCATCAGGACTCAAGTACTCCTCTAAAACAACCACGGACTCTAAAGATAATAAAATTATAGCTTGGATGGAGGGTATGGAGTGGAATTACTGTAGCTGAAGCAATATATTCAAACTGCTAATCGTAGACATAGGTTTTAGTTGATGAACAGTCATTTTGCAGGTTAATTTCTTTCTTTGTTTCATAAGTAAAATAGGAATCACAATCAGTAGCTCTGGAATTGTTAAGAGGGCTAAGTGAGATAACATATGTCAGATGTACAGCAAAGTGCCTGACACTTGGTAACTGCTATTAATGAACCTATTATTATGAATATAAGAGACTGTCATACAACCAACTCAAGAATACTGAGCAAGCTATTATCTTAAAAACTTTTTCATATCTAAAGCAACATCTGAGGAACTAATGATTACCTCTCAAAGACTTGGTATCTTACCCTGAGTGTTTTTTTTTTTTTTTTGTTACTTCTACACCCACCTCACCAGCAGGACTCAACACTCAGGGCTTGTTTCATACTTTTTCTTAGAGACACTAGACGTATCCACTGTACATACACATCCTTTCTTTCTCAATTCCTGTACCTACTCTATAGGTTCAAGAGAATGGTTTTCAATGTTAAGAGGAAGCAATACCAACAAATAAGCTTATGAAAAATTGGTATTTCCAAGGTATCACTTTAAGAGTAAATAATCTGGCACAAGAAAGGTGGCCCTAAAAGCTGAACTATTTTTAAAGAACCACTGATGCAAATTTCCACAGATTTTAGTGAACACTGATGTTTGTTTCATCATATGTTCCTGCTTTGATGTTATTGTCCAATGTATAATATTCGTATTTCCTACATGAAGTGGAAAATGAAGATTATGCCTCCATATAGAAAATAGCTTATTAATTTTAAGAACTAAAGCAACTCAGTAATTATAACTTTTTACTGATGAGTAAATTAAGAACATTTGGAAAAGATAAATATTTGTTCACCTGTTAATGTTTTGCTCTGAAAGAGAAGACAGAAACTTTAAAAATGAATTCAGGCGGGCATTTAAGTAAGATAACTTTACCTCTAATGATTTTCTACAATGCATTCATTTTAGAAATTATGTTTCTTATACAAGAAATAAAATTACCTCTCATGTCTAAAATGACATGAGCCGTTAAGGTACTTCAAGCCTAAGAGTGTATATCAGTATGTTTTTCTTCGGCATTTACTAACTCTTCTGACTTCTTATGAAGATCAGGCTCACCTAAAAAACAAACAAACAAACAAACAAAATAGGCCTTTAAGAAAATGTAATAAGGTCAGGAGACTGGAGTAATTTGTAGAATGGATGGATGGATTTTACAATTGATTTTATGGGATATTTCTCCAAAAGGTACCAGGCATTTACTTTTCAAGTTGTGGGTTTACAGAGTTATAACAGGTCATTTTACGGTTATTAGACATCTCTTTGAAGTTGCCTTCATTTAATCTGGGAATGCAGAAATTAAACAGAGGTATTTAAACATCTATTAAATTACATGTAAAAAATTGTGTATGCATTTCCTGAATATTTGTTTCAGAGAAACAATTTCTTTTAAACAAACCCTTTAATTATTAGTGTATTTCAGCACACACTGGTTAGTTGCTGTGAATTTAAAACAAAAGAGTATAAGAGAATAGTAATTTTTCAAATAGATATAATTTGCCAAGATGATCTAATGGAATGTATAGCTGTAGAATCATGCAGCTTCTATATAAACCGTGAAGAGAAACATTAGTACAGAATATGTTCCAACATTTCTGAAAAGGTTGCAGAGAATTTTTTAAAGATAGAAACACATATTTAAAAATATATACGGATGAGAAGATTCCAACATGAGAAAGAAGGTAAACAAAAGCAGCAGAAATTATTTAAGTCACTTAAAATATTTTTATATTTCAAAGGTAATATATGGGAAAATTCCTAGATAGGTTAAAAAAGGGAAAAATATAGACACAAAAATAGTCATATGTGATAGAATGTTCTTGATGCTGAAGTCTGTTTCATTCTAACAATTAAACTTAACATTGATTTACTCTGAAATGACTCTTTCAACATACATTGTAAGACCATGTGGTCTTGCAATAGATTTTCAATGAGATCATAAAATTAGTGAGCATATAGAAGTCATGGTATTATCAAAGAAGCAAATTTTGCTTCTCACGTTGTTGTTGTTAGGTGGCGTCCAATCAGCTCTGACTCATAGCAACCTTATGTACAGCAGAATGAAATACTGCCTGGTCCTGTGCCAGTATCACAATCTTTTCTATACCTGAGCCCATCAATGCAGCCACTATGTCAATCCATCTTGTTGAGGACCTTCCCCTTTTTCATTGACTCTCCACTTTACCAATGCTAAAGGGGCAAGGAGACCACATCTTCTGACTTCTTCTAACCGCACAAGAGGAAGACAGAATCACTATCAGTAACCCAAGGCCTATTCTTGAGAGGCCAGATATGCTGCCTCCCCCCAGCCTTTTCACCAACCCTGACACCAACTGTTTCTCCCGCAGCACTCACTACCTTTCTGCTGGGTTTGATAATTCACTGCAGTGGCCACACAGAACTCACAGATTATGGGGTTTATTAGGGAAGCACCAGGATACAATTCAAGTTCAGGAACAACTCTCAGTCTCTCTTGGCCCACTGTCTCTCAGCCAACGGTCTCTCTCAGTCTCTCTCCCAACAGTGCGTGTCTCTCTCTTAGCAATGCACATCTCTCAGTGTCTCTTTTTCAGCAATGTGTGTCTCTTAGTGTCCCTTTCTCAGCATCACGTGTCTCTCAAGAGCATGATTCTCTCAGTAGCACGTCCTTCCCAGCCAACAGTCAGAGAGAGATTTCTGCCTCTAGGAGGCCTCCTTTTGAGCCTGGCTGAGTGGCCAAACTAACCAATCATAACATCAGAATTCTAAACACCTGAGAGAGAGCAAACTTCCCAGAACATTGCTTTGTGCCACTACCAATAGAAATACCCCAGGTGGATAACTTTTACAATCAGGAGCTCCTAAGTTGCTCACAGTAAATTCCCCCACTGAGTTTACAGAGACTTATGGCTAGAAAAGTCTTATCAGGTAATTTGCTACATTGCAACCAAATATGATATCCTTCTCCAGGGAATGGTTCCTTCTGACAACATGACCAAAGTAGGTGAGACGAAGTCTGGCCATTCTCGCTTCCGAGGAGCATTCCAGCTGCACTTCTTCCAGGACAGATCTGTTGGTTCTTCTGGAAGTTCATGATACTTTCATTATTCTCTGCCAACACCACAACTCAAAAGCATCACTTCTTCTATGGTCTTCCTTATTCACTTTCACATGCAAATGAGGTGACTGAAAATACCATGGCTTGAGTTAGGTGCACCTTAGTCTTCAAAGAGACATCTCTGCTTCAGAACTTTAAAGAGAGTTTGAACATCAGATTTGTGAAGGTTTTCGCTTTGAAGACTTCTTAAATCCCTTCTGAAGGAATCTCTTGGATCACTTTTCCTTTCCCCTTCACATTTCAAAATTTCTTTTTTGGAGAGAAAAAATTATGGAAATTAAATATATATGGTGAAGGTGGAAGACTTCAGATACAAATATCCTTATCATGATTCTGTGAACCTTCTAAATTACTGTAGTTAAAAGGGAAAGTTAAATTAGCTAAGATAGAATCTAAGATCAACAAAGGTCTCAAAAGAAGTAAACTTAGCAGAACTGAAAAGGTTTGACTGTGTGAAGTCTAAATACAGGCATACATTAAAGAACATAAAGTAAGTTGGAAAATTTATTTTGAGAGAGATTTGAATTGAATTGCCATGTATCAATTTGCTGGACTTAGCTAAAATGTCCTCTTTGTAAGAACGGCTACAGAGTGCTATTTTTTAGAAGAAATTTTAGTTCTATAGTGCTGCTCTAACATGAATACCACAAGTGAATAGCTTTAGCAAACAGGGATTTATTTTGTTACAGTTAGGAGGCTAGAAGTCTGAGTTCAAAGTGCCAGCTCTAGGGGCTGGGTGAAAGCCCCTTGACCTTGGGCTTCAGCTCTGCCTCTGGCTCCCAGCCCACTGGAACTGGAGGCATCTCTTAATTCAGGCAACTGCTGGGTGCTTGGTGCTTGATGACAAGCCCAAAGTTGATAAACACAATGGCACAGCCCAAGATTATTAAGCAACATGGCAGGTCACTAGTTCACATCGAGAAATAATCCCAAGATCAGCAGGCAACATGATAAGCTGCTGAATGAAGAAGACTCAGCTACACGTAGGGTCCAAGTGGACCAAAAAGCTCATGATCTTTCTCAAAGTGTCTTCTTATATTCTGGAAGCAGACCACATCCCTAAGACAGCTACTCAGCTGCTCATAGCAGATTCCACCATGGAGATGATTACCAGTCCCATCATGGGAAATAACTACATCCAGCTGCCCAGCCACTCAAAACCATGGCCCAGCCAACTTGACCCTTAACCTTAATCACTACAGAAGGCAAGTATCTCAAGTGGCAGAATCTTCTACTGAAAGTATTTAGATAGATGTTGTCCATTTTCAACTCTCCAAAATGGACAGCCACATCAAACCATTCGTGTAAATAATATCAATAATTAGGCAATTCCATCTTTTCATTAATACATGGAAAAACAGGGATGGATTTGAAAGATATTTGGAAGATATAGTCTATAAGTTATTTTAATGGATCAGTAAAGAATGGAAATGTGAGAGTCAAGATCAGTTCAGCATACAGTGATTCACTCAATTAATCGAATTGCCTCAATGAATGTTTTACCATGGAATAAACATAATCTCATATCAAAATCATTACGGGCAAATCATGCATTTCCATATTAAATTTCTTTAAAGAAGCCTTCTCTATGATCTCCATACAGGCTGAGGCACATACATGAGCCTAGGCAAATAATTATTATTATAGAAAACACTAGGTTCTAAGAAATTTATATTTATTAACTTATTTAATACTCTTGCAGTTCTGTGACATTGACTACTGTGATGTCGTTTTATCATCTCTACTTTATAAAGGACCAAACAAACACATAGAACTTAAACAGCTTGTACAATAGTCACATAGCTAAAATAAGATGGAAACAGAACTGAAATGATAGTCCAGTTCCAGAGACCTAGCTCCTGACTCTACACTGTGCATTAATAGCTGCTTTTGGTGGTGGTTGTTGTTTTGCCTTTCCTTAGTATCTTTGAAATTAAATTTGATGGTAAATTATAACTGAACATCTTTTTTTTTTTTTTCTGAAGGTAGACTATAAAATAATAATTACAGTCCTTAGTGAAAATACTTTCTTCAATATTAGACACGAGCCAGTCTACACTAATTAATTATTGACTACTGGTGGTAGGCATCTGACTGCTAACCAGAAGGCTGGTGGTTCAAACCTACCTAGAGAGGAAGATTGGGTAATCTACTTTTGTAGTGATTCTGCCTTGGAATCCCAAGGAGGGATCACTATGAGTCAGGTCCGACTCAATGGCAATGAAACTAGTGCAATTAACCATTAAACTCACTCTTGTTGTTTTTGTTATGTGCCGTCAAGTCGGATCCAACTCATAGCGACCACTCCTTGGGTTTCCAAGGTGGTATCACTACGGAAGTAGATTGCCAAACCTTCCTTCCAAGGAGTGGCTGGTGGATTTGAACCGCCAGGCTTCTGGTTAGCAGTCAAGTGCCTTAGGCACTATGCTACCAGAGAGGATCAAAATAAAGAAGATGTAAAAGAGCAGCAGATTAAAAACAAGCTTTTTCCATGAGACCAGAACAACTAATATTCTCTGGCTTCCTTACTGACATTTTGATAAAAGATTTTATAGAAGAATCCTAACCAGAAAGGGGGAAATGTGGAACAGAACTTCAAATGCTCACAGGATCCAGACATCTGGAGCCACTGAGGCTGGATGATTCCCATGCCCTGAAATGATAGCCCTGAAAAAACCTTTAAACCTTAAACCAACTATCCTCTCAAATAGCAGCTTATTTTAATTAGTTGTTGTAGTTGTTGTTATGTGCTGTCAAGTCGGACCCAACTCATAGCGACCCCTCCTTGGGTTTCAAAGGCAGTATCACTACAGAAGTAGATTGCCCCATCTTCCTTCTGAAGCTTAATTAGTAAGGAATGTTTATTTTGCTCTTTTAAAGAATCATCTATGTGATCAAATTGACAATAGCAACTTGAAAGGTTGAAAACGAAGCTTGAGGGACAGTGAGTTTATATTAATGA